ATAGAATTAAACTTGGCTTCTTAAGAATTGGCTTCTTGAAACTATTTCCTGAGATCTCCATTGATTGGTGTTTTTGAGCTTCTTAATTTGTAGTTCGAATTGTATCAACTCTACATACGCAGGCACATTATAAAAAGTATAAACCAGAATTTCAACTTTGTATGGCTCAGAATCATATGATTGGAGCAGCATACAGGAATAAAGATTTTTTTAAAAATAAATGAATAAATATTATAATCTACTTGCACCCTTAATTTCAAGCAAGAATGAATAGTCAATCTTATTGGAGATCACTCTTCATTTTATATGCATGTAAACACAAAAGATATATAATAAAAAAAACCTTCCGTTTTATGCCCCTGTGTACTCCCTTAATTCAGAGTAGAGTCAGAGCGACTGGATGAAGTTATGGGTTTATGGCAACAAAGCATGAAAATCAGCATGCCTTTGCTTTTTACATTTTCTCCTAAATCATGTTGAGAACTTGATGAAAGATCACCACCTATCTCTGTCGTGGACAAATTAAAACAAAAATGTGCTGGATTGGGAGTTTAAAAATTATAAGTACAAGGTAATTTAAGGCAAATTATGCAACTCTATTGAAGACATTTTTCATGTTCTTTACTTACTCAAACAGAACACATATCAAATCAAATGTAAATGAATTATAAATATGTACATTAAATACTAATATCAAGTACAAATATTGACATGCAGACAGTCTCTAGCCTTTTTTGAATAACTAGCCACTTGGTAACAATTGCAAAGTTTCTACTGTTTACAAGTTACCGGTACATCTTTCTCCCAAGCAAAGCACTTTCCATTGAATTCACATTCATTGAATTCACATCAGTGATGTTACATGCACAACCCAATAGGAATACTTAATGGGATATGTGACACACAGGACTTGATGTCATAGGACAAATCTATTACAGTCTGTCATACTATGTGGCATCATACTACTGTCTGATATGCTACATGGCATCAAGTCATCAGGAACCCCTTTGGGTCATGCATGGGACAGCATTAATGTGAATCCAGGGAATGAGAATTCCTGCAAAGTGCCTTGTTTGGAAGAAATATGTAACTAGTGATGCTATACTCCTTCTCTCAGAATACCCATTTTGCTATAGTAGAAGTTTTACAGCTCCTGTTTTGCACCAATGTTCCTACTGACAGGATGTTTCCTCGTTCGTTAGGTACCAAAACACCTTGATATGAAGTGTGAAAAAAGCAGCTACCTGTTTTTGTCATAAATTCCATTTTTCTTCTTTTTGAAACAGACCTTGCCAATTAATACATTCAGTGTGTTTGGTGTGATAAGCAAACTTTTTCCCCATACATAGCACCTCTAGATGGAGGATAAAGGAGAATCCCATGAATTCTCAGGTGTATTCGAATGAGATCTTTGAATCTGGTTCAAGATGCATCTCTGTTCATATTTCAGCCTTCTGTAATTCATAAGTCCGTCCCTCCTTCCTACCTACCTTCCTACTTACCTACCTACCTGGAGCCCGACTTACCCCATAGAGAATTTGCAAGGACAGGTCAGAGGCACAGAAGCTGCAATTGCTATGGGTCCTCTTACCTGGGAATAAGTCTGACCTACTGAACTCGGTCCGAGTTACTTCTGAGTAAATATTTGCAACCAGCTCTGCAAATACGGCTAGAGGGTGGCACCCTCCCAGGATGAATATAGCACGAAGCTTAAAATGGAGATGAACCGCAGGCTACCCGATGCTCTCCAGAATGTTTTGGGACTACAACTCCGAAAACACTTGGTGTATATCAGAACGGGAGTTCTAGTCTTCAACCATTCGAGAAGGCTGCAGGTTCCGGAGCTCATTCAGAACAAAACCAAGCGATCTACCGCGCGCGGATCCTTGATTCAAGTCCCATCCACACGCTCCCCCACCCACGGATCCGGCGTGAAGTTGCGGCCTCGGGATCCCTCCCCGTCCTGGATTGCGCGCCGTTTCACCGGACACTCCGTTTTGCAGCCCAGAAGCCCCGCTATAGGAAACCTGACTCGACGGATAAAAGTCTGCGAGCGATCCCGCGCACCCTCACCTCTCTCGCCGCCCTGGATGGCGCGCACCACGTCGTCCGCGTACTTGCCGCTCTCTTCGAAGGCGAAGTCGTCCAGATGCAAGCCGGCCTCGCGGAAGACCAGGTGGACCCCCTCGGCGGCGAAGAAGCAGCTGCGCTGCTCCTTGTCGTCGTGGTAAACCAGCAGGACGCGGCTCCACTTGCGGTGGCGGAAGAGCGCCAGAAACATCTCGCCCATCTTGGCGTAGCCCGGAGACACTCGGGTCAGGTGCGAGTACTCGCCCGTCTTGGGGCTGAAGCCCGCGGCCAGCGCGCCGGCCGAGATCATGGGCAGGTTCCAATGGGAAGCCAGCCGGGCTACCGGCGCGGCGGCGTAGTCGCACACCGGCCCCAGCAGCAGGTCGGGCCACTCCCGCTTCAAGGCGATCATATCCACCAGGCTGAAGAGCGCCCGGTTGCCGCAGTCCGAGTCGCTGTAGAAAAGGCGGAACTTGTAGCCCGCCGGCAGGAGCGAGCCGTTCGCCTCCAGGCTCCGCACCGCGTACTCGATGGCCGGCCTGACCCGCGCCAGCGAGAACAGGTACGCGTCGTCCTTGGGCAGCAGCACCAGCACCCGCAGCGCGGTCTCTTCCTCGGCCGCCGCCGCCGCCACTTCCTTCTCTACGCCCGGAGCGCCGCTGCCGGGGGCGGGGGTGGCCAAGAGCAGCCAAGCTGCCAGGCTGCAGAAGCAGCAGCTGAGGAAGAAAAGGGAAGGCATGGTGGCCAAAGCAAGAGCGGGCGTTAAATTTATTTTCTTTTCTTTCTATTCAGCGGTAGAGAACCCGAGGCGCACCAAGGTGGCGGAAAGGAGCGAGCGAGGGCGCACTGAGGAAAAGTTTGGAGGGCTCCGCTCGGAAGGGGCGCCGTCTGCTCCCTCTCGCCTCTGGATTCTAGTCAGAAATAGAGGGTGAATTTGCTTCGCGCTTTGGGGAAGGGACGGTCTGCCGCCCCGCTACAACTTTCCCGCGCCCCGTCCTCCATGTAACCGTAAGAATAAGAGAGCCAAATGAGGCGCCAGCATCCTCATCCTCGCCCACTACTACTTTTCCTTCCTCCTCCTCCTCCCCTCCGCCCGCCTCCCCAATCTCTCTGCCTCCCGAGTGAGCTGGGTCGACGGCCGTCCTTGCCGCTCCCGGCCTCATAGCCTCTGTTTAAATACTGCGGCTGCAGCCCCGCGCGCCCGGTCGCCAGACACGCGGCGCGGCGAGGCCGGGTTTGCGCTTCGGGGGGGAGGGCGGGCTAGGGAGGAGCCATTGCCAAACGTCCCCTTGGCTTGGCTGGCCACGCCCACCTCTCTCTCTCTCTTCCTTGGCTCCTCCCCGCCCCGCGTTCACACGCTGCCTCTTCGCCCTCGGGTTTCTCCGCCGCTTTTGTTCTGGGAGGCTGAAGCGGAGGCGGAGAAGGGGAGACGAGGAATCTAGACGCCGGCCACCGAGGGCCAGGAATCGCGCGCCCCTGCTTGGGGGATGGTGGCGCCCTTCATCCTCCCTTGGGATGGGGTGGGGTAGTCCAAATCCAGGCTGCGATCCTGCTTGAGTAGGGGGCTGGACTAGAAGACCTCCGAGGTACCTTCCAGCTCTTTTCTATTCTAATAAGTGAACTAAGGGAGCACTGCACACCAAGACAACTAGACACAAGAACAGTTTTTTTTCCAGAACGCCATCACTCTGCTAAACAAATAATTCCCTCGCCACTGTCAAACCATTGGTTCCACCACAAAACCGCAGACGACAAAATCGCGGTCGACGAAAGCGCGCATTTGATGTCATCACAGCGCAACGAAAAAAATTAAAAATTGAAATAAAAATAAAATTAAAGCAAGCCGATTCACATAAAGGTAAGGGTTAGGGTAGGGTTAGGTTAAGGGTTAGGGTTCGGGCGTTAGGGTTATGTTTAGCGTTACGTTAAAGGTTAGCGTTAGGTTTAGCGTTAG